GGCGTGATAGGGTTGACTATATGTTCGCCGGTCACTGTTCATTTGCATGTGATCACTACCTGAACAGCAACGTCAGCATTTTTATAATTAGGACTGGGTCCAGCTGCGGCATATTCTTATGTATGATTTCAGTTGAGTATCTTTTGATTCAGGCCTGTTTTCTCGGCCTAGAAATCGAACACCAACTGGGTCGTATTTCATTCAATGGAATCTCTGACACCCCGAGCAGTGTTTTGAAGGAGTTCATGACTCACTTGCGTATGTACAGCAATCTCATAGATGTAAGTATCATACTTTTGCCAAAGTCGAATTTAACGATTTTCCTCGACACAGAATGCAGACGGTGTATTATTATTTTTTTTGTTTTAGGATAGATTGTCCATAAAAGAAGAAGACGTGGTGATACTATTCAATGAAAGCATGGAAAAGTACTTCAAAGAAATAGTGCGGGAACTTTCAGATGTCGATGAAAGGCAAGCAGCGGAATGTTCTGAAGTGAGTTGTGATTCTACTGTTATCTCTTTAGAATAGTGAGTCTTTCACTGGAAGACAGATTTCCAGTGCCCTTGTTGCGCTTTTTGGCATTTCTCGAATAACGGTCCCAGATTCTTCATAGTAGTCCGCGCTGGTGGTGGTTGCTGCTGATTTAAGATAGGCGTGCTGATAATCTCCTAGGTATCCTCTCCTTCGACGTCGTCGAGACGCTTGGTCACACAAATGCTGAAAGGAAGGAAATCCATCTGTGCGGGGCATGTACCGTCAACTGTTCTGCAAACGAAACTGTTGTCATCGGCAAAGGCTAAGACTACAGGCAAGTTATAATCTCTTCATGAAATTCTCTGAATCAGATGAAATAGAGAGATTTTAAGGCATAAGCCCAGAGCAGTGTTAAACTTGTTTCTCTATACGGGTTGAATAGACGACGTTCAGATCACTATTCTGTACATTACCCCAATTGCTGTGTCACACTGAAGTTATGTTGGGTCCTGATCACGAATATGATGTTATTTTTTGGCGCTGGCGCCAAATTGGCGCCACGACTGATTATCACCAAATTCGCTGTAAACTTCTGAATAGGGGTTATTTGGGATCACGAATATGACACTGGTTTTTGACATTCGTACTGTTTAACACATTGCGGACCGCCCTTATACGAGCATCTCCATACCTTTTTCATGTTTTTAAAAAATGAATCATCATTAATCTATCAACAATTTTATCAGTGATGACACTTATGGTTTCCTGGCTCTGAAAATGAGTGCAAACACTTCAGGAGCATTGAAAAATGCCAAATAAATCAGATAAAACTATGATCTTTCGCTCGAAATCGTGCGCCACATGGTGGCGCACGCGGTACGCAATGTGTTAAAGAATTTCTTTGAGTTAATGGTATGTTTTCTGATTGGCCTTGAGTGCTCTTTTCCAAGC